AATTGTATTCATCTCTCTTTCCTTTCTTTTTTTTGGTCTTTTTGAGACAGGGTCTCCTTGTAGCCCCAGCTGTTCTGGAACTCACTATGTGGACCAGGCTGGCCTTGAACTCACAGAGAACTGCCTGCCTCAGCCTCCCGAGTGCTGGGATTAAAGGCGTGCACCACCACACCCAGCTAGAATAAATGTTTTTTAATAAAATAAGTTTCAGATAACTTCTCTTTTTCTCCATTCTTTCTCTCAAGACAGGCTCTACCTATGTAGCCCAGGCTAACCTCAAACTTATCCAGCTTCCTCTTTAAAAAATAAAACAGGGCTGGAGAGATGGCAGCTGGAGCAGAAGACACAGCTAAACAGACTCCTAACCCAAGAGTACCATGAGGTGATGAATATGCACATTGTGAAGACATTGTTTTTAGGTCAATTTGTTATGTGACTGTAGGCAACTGATACTGCTTAATATAAAAGACATGCCATCCAGCAGGCCATCCACTTTGTACGTACTGAATATTATATTTTCTTTTTTAAAAAGTATTTTTATCATTTTGGGGGCTGGAGAGATGGCTCAGTGGTTAAGAACACTGGCTGTTCTTGCAGAAGACCCGGGTTCGGATCTCAGCACCCACATGGCAGCTAACAACTGTCCGTAACTCCAGTTCCAGGGGATCTGACAGCCTCTTCTGTCCTCCACGGGCATTGCATGACACAGGTGCACTTACCTACACAAAGGCAATACATGCATATACAAAAAATAAAAATAATAAAATCTTAAAAAAAATTATCATTTTTATTTTAATGTATGAGTGTATTGCCTGCATCTGTATAAGTGCACCTGTGTCATGCAATGCCCACAGCGGTCAGAAGATGGTGTTGAATTCCTCTGGAACTCACTATGTAGACCAGGCTGGCCTCAAACTCAAAGAGATCACCTGCCTCTGCCTCTCAAGTGCTGGGATTAAAGGCATGTGCCACCATGGGGCTGATTTATTTATTTTTATTATGAAGTCATCCCCATGGGGGCGGAAAGTATAACTCATTGGTAGAAAGCTTGCCTGACACACTTGCTAATTAAACACAGAGAGGTTATGACATTTGCCTGGGGTCACACAGCACTGTGTGGAAAAGCTGGAATTCAAACACTGGAAGTTAGAATCCCTGGGTGCCCCAGCTCTGTCGTCCACCCTTGCAGTAGCTGCAGACATGAGATGACCTTCGGGGAGCTGTACACACTCATGACCACCCCAGCCCCTCCTCCTCAGACCTGCTGGAATCGCATTCTGTCTGACTGTGGACACCACCTTGGACTGGTTGTCCTCTAGCCCTGTAGGAGCTGGGGGGAGGGATCTGGTGTCTGGATTCCAGAAACTTCTCCAGGTGCCCTCTCCTCCCATCAGGATGGGAGTGAATCAACCCCATCCTGGAATCTCCCTTGGGCTGGGTGGCAACTCCCAGATAAAGGTCCAGGAATCCCAGAGTAGGTGACCTCACTGGCTGGAACTGGCTGGGTACCACTGAGGAGGATAGTTGGGGGTGGGCTGGGGCTTTACCACTTCTAGGGACCCCTGCCCCTCAGCATCCCAGATTCCATACTTTCTGTCCTTTTCTCTATTGAGGGTCCCAGTGCTAAGATTTGGGGCTGGGAATTCCAGTCTGCTCGTGCCCTCCTTCCATCCTAAATGACCCATGGTCTCAGGCCTGCCTTCCTTCTCATTGCCTGGCCACCCTCCAGAGCTGCTCAGCCTCCAGGCTGCACCCTCTGTGGCTCCAAACTGCTCCAGAAATAGAATCAGTGTTCACATCTGACCTCTGAGGGCTCACCCCACTCACACTCACAGTCTGACCTGGAGCTGGGTGCTCAGCTGGGCCAGGGAAGCTGACCCTTGCTTAGGAATGTGACCACAGGCACAAGACCATCCTGCAAGTGAGATGTGACAGTGGGGATGACCCAGGTCCTTGGATGCAAGGAAATGCTTACCACAGAGCCTGCCCCCAGCCCTTCAGTGGGGACTCTAGGCTGTCACTCTACTCCTGAGTAGGTCCACACCCTTTTTTTTTTTTTTTTTTTTTTTTTTTAAATCTGCTTGGGAGCCATTTTCCTTCCTGCCTGTGACTTAAAATGACTAAGTACATTTTGAATACAGTATACATCAGATTGTAAACCAAAGGGAAATGTCAAATCCTGATTCGATATTGCTATTTTTTAGAACCAGCAGCAGTAACAATTGCAGTAGGACCAGGCTAATTGTCACTCCCTCTTGAACAATGAGCCAGGCATTTGTAGTTAAAACATTATTGCTATTCAGAAAGCTTATAACGAGTGGTGCCCCCCCCTTTTTTTTTTTTTTTTTTACATTTTAAGGTTTAAGGCAAAGTTTCAGGAAAGTGCCCCAGCTAGCTTGAACTGACAATACTCCTCCTAGTCTCCAGAGTCCTTGGGATAACCAGCTGGTGTCATCAGGCCTAGCTTCCATTGACTTCTGTCTCTGCACTATACCACGGCACTGCTTCCTGACCTTCAATGGCTCCCTGCTGCCCCCAGGTGTTGTTAATGTGTTTCTGCAACTCAGGAGTAGCCCCACATGACCTGTGTTTGGGCTCACCCTTTTCCTTCAGTTCTCCAACCTCAGGCCCCACTGTGGGGACCAGGGGGAGGTGTGCAGATCTGCCTTTTCAGGGGTGTGTGGCTGGTGTCCTGGCCTCTCCCAGCAGAGGTAGGCCTGGGCTGGGTGGATCTCAAACTTGTCAGACTGGTTTGCCGCCCCCCCCAAGTCTTGGCACAAGCAGGAGTCCTGAACAGGGGCTAGCAGGATCTGGCCCTGTGCCCTGGGACCCAGAAGTGTCCAGACACAGATCCTGAGACAGTGATGGACAGCTGGGGACACCAAGAAGTCTGCGGCAGGTGGGCAGGGTACAGGAGGGGGCGACTGGTGTCTGGACTGGATGAAGCTAGCTCAGGAGAGAGTGCCGGGTGGAAAAAGAAAGACCGAAAGATTTGGTCAGAAAGAAACAGAAGACAGGAAGACTGGGTAGGGGGCAGATATAGTTTTCTACACCTGCTTGTGCCTTAGTTTCCCCTTCTGCACACAGGAAAACCAGCTGGACTTGAGAATGGGAGATGAGGCATGGGGGAAGGAAGGAGGAAGAGGCGGTGTTGGGGGACCCCACGAGGGGAAGTGGGTACAGAAAACAGAAGTGGTCAAGGGTCGACTGTGAAGGAGGATGGGCTCGCTAGGCAGCCTGGGAACACTGGGACTTTCCAGAGTATGGGGGAACAGGAAGTGAGTCCCCAGTTCCCTGCCCACTCCTCTGGGGCTGGGCCAGGCAGCTCACCTGTTCTGCCACAACTGCCCAGCCCTGAAAATCTGTGAGGAGCTGCAGGCCACTCCCCCATGCTCCACCCCAGCATGCCTCAATCTCCAGCACTGGGAAGGTGAGCTTAGGCCAGAAGCGAAACTGAGGCTGAGGCCCAAGAATGTCCTTAGCAACTGCCTGCAAGGCCTTCTGTCCTTTGAAACGTGCTGTGTCCGTGGCTCAGTGGTGAGTGCTTGTAGCTATTATGAGGTCCTGGGTTCCATTGTTGGCAGAATTAACTAAAAAATTTGTTTTGGAAACCAAAACTGAACTGGTCTGGGGTTCACTGGGTGGAGTGCTTGTACCTCAGTTTATAGAGTGCTTATAGCTCCATTGGTAGAGTACTTGTAGTTCAGTTGGTAGTTTATAGCTTAGTTAGTAGAGTACTTGTAACTCAGTAGAGTACTTGTAAGTCGGTAGAGTGTTACAGTTCAGTTGAGGGTCACACAGCTAGACTGTGATCCTGCACCCAAAACTGGACCATGAACTTGAGAGTCAGGTCCCTGCTACCCTCCAAGGCTGACTCCTGCAATTCCTTGGAAATCCCCGAATCTGACTAACTCTCTAGACATCTCCAACTTGGCAGATTCTTGCAGGCTGACAGGGCTGGACCCACCCCAGCCTGGGCAAACTGCCCCCATTTGAGGCAAAATTACCCACAGAGACCTCGTGGCTTCCCAAGGTGGACGTGGCAGGGGTCACATCCATGCTTGTCCTTTGGTGACCTGGGGCCAACTCCAGGACTGTCGTGTGCCTCCAATTCTTCCCCTGGGAAAATCAGGTAACTCTATCCATGATCTCAGAGGACCAAGGTGGGAGCAGGGCTGGGTCCACCTGTGTGGAACTCAATCTCCTTGTGAATCTGATGGAGAGGATTCATTGTGTGTATGTGAAAGCCAAGCTTGCTCTTGTTTCTCAGTGGCTGTCCACCTTGTTTTCTGAGACATGGTCCCTCCCTGGCTTGGAACTGTATTCTCCTGCCTCTGCCTTCCCAGTGCTTGGATTACAAGCACACACTGCTGCACCCAGGTTTTTAAAATTTTATTACTTATTTATTCATTTATCTATTTTTACTTTATGTATATGAGTATTTGACCTGCATGTAAGTGCACCACGTGTGTGTAATGCATGTGGAGGACACAAGAGGGCATCAGATCCTCTGGAACTGGAGTTAGGGATTGTTAACTGTCATGTGGGTGCTGAGAACTGAACCTGGGTCTTCTGCAGGAGCAGCCAGTGCTCTTAAATGCTGAGCCACCTCTATAGCACCTTATTTATTTATTTATTTATTTATTTATTTATTTATTTATTTATTTATTTATTTATAGACAGGATCTCCCTGCAGCCCCTGCTGGCTTGGAACTTACTATGTAGCCAGGTCGGCCTCAGTCTCACAGAGATCCATGTGCCTCTGCCTCCTGCGTGCTGGGATGCCCACCATGCCCAGCTGATACTGGCTTTTGAACAGCTTTTCCTTCACCTAAACTGCCCTTCTTCCTGTTTGTCTGTGGCAAACTCCTACTTGAATGCCCAAATTTGAGCCTCTATATCCTTCCTCTGCCCTGCGGTCTCCTGGGATAGCTCCTGCCTGGTCCCCTCCCCTGATGGCCCATGTGGGGAATCTGTGTTCCTGGCTCTCTCCCCTTGTCAGGGACTCCTGAGTTATCTCAAGGGCCTTTTGTTCAGTGCAAGGCTGGGCACAAAAACAGGTGTTAGTAGAGTTCACTGACGTTATTTACTCACAGAATAGTCTAATTTCAGGGGTTAAAGTGAATGCAGGAGACTCTGGTGTGGTGGCAACCTGGGGTCTGAACATGTGACATCTTGTTGGTGTTGGGGATGGTGGCTGAGTTGGCCTCGTTCACCATTTGTGTCCAGTGACCTAGCACTACACTGAGAAAGGAGACAGATGAATGAAAAGTATTGGAGGTGGGGGTGAGAAAGGGCTTGGGGTTGTGGTGCCCACCTTTGAACCTAGCAGCCAGGTAGGTGGATCTCTGTGAGTGTTAGATCGAGGCTAGCCAGGGCTACATAGTGAGTTCCAGGCCAGCCTGAGTTATATATATATTTAAAAAAAAAAAGGGGGGCTTGCATTTGTTCTGGCTCATTCAAAGGGAGGAGGGCAGGGTGTGAGGGGTCCATGGGACATGTGTAAAGGCCTGGAGGAGAAACTGAGGAGTTTGAGGAAGGGTCACATAGTCGAATGGGGTCAAGTTCATTCCTCTGAGTGTATGGCAGGGGAGGAAACTGAGGCAGGTGAGGCCGTCAGTGCTCACTGGGTTCCGTGCAGCATCCCCTGGTGTTGGCTTGGACACTCAGGGCTCTGCCAGCCCCAACCATGCCCCCAAGAGACCACGCCCACCAACCGGCCACATAAACCCCGCCCCCAAAACAAGATGTCCTGCCCTTGCGGCCCCGCCCCCTCACAGGAGAGGAAGTGAGGGGGCCGCTGCCAAGATGGCGCTCAGAACCCGGAAGTGAGCAGCGGCCGCCCAGAGGCTCCGAGAAACTGAGGCGCCGCGGACTCCGCGTCTGCGTCTGAGGTGAGGCGCCGGCCCGCGACCCTGTCGTGACCCATGGTGACCACGCCGCGACCCCCACGACCCCTACGTTCGCGGGTCGGCTCGGGCTCCGGGGTTCTCACCAGGGTGGGGTTTTTCAAGACCATGGGGAAGGGAACGAACGAGGCGCCGCGACCCCGGACTCCTGACCCCGCCCCCCCGCGACCTATGACCCCTCCCGCGACCCCTGACCTCGCCCCCAGCCTCGACCCCGTTTGTGAACCTTGACCCCGCTTTCCCTGTTAACCTCTAACCCTGCCTTTTCCCCCCACCTCATTTCCTAGGGAACCCTGGCTCCTGTTCCCTGTGACCCTCCTCCCCCACTGCCCCCTGGGAACTTTGACCCCCAGCTTACTCTGTCCCCTGTCCTTAAGGTGAACCCTGACCCTGGCCTGTGCTGCTGAGATACCCTCCCTCCCTGGGATCCCCACCCTTGCCCGGGACCCTTGATCCCACTCTTGGGTCCTGGGAGGGAACCCTGAGCCTTTCCTTCACATTAACACTGCACGCCTAGGGAATTGATCCCTGGGGACCCCCCATTCTCCTTGGTGAAACTTCACCTCACTGTGGGGACTCCTGTTCTCCTAGTGAACCTTGACCTCACCCTGGGGACCCCCATTCTCCCTAGTGAATCTTTACCTCACTGTGGGGACTCCTGTTCTCCTAGTGAATTCTGGCTCTGCCTCTGCAAAGACCCCAGTCACTCCCATGGGAACCCTGATCACTACCTCCCTGGTGACCCCTGTCACTGATTCTGGTCCTGGGAATGAACCCCGACCCATGCCCTGTGCTGCAGTGCTCCACCACTGGGAACATTCACCCCAGCCTCAGTGGTGACCCCTAACTCTCTTTTCTGTGGTTCTCTGTCAATCCCTGCCCCACATTCTTTACTGACCCCTGACCTTTCCATTGTGGTGGTCTTTGTGTCCCCTGGTGACCTTAGACCTGCCTCCCTCACCTCCTTACCCCTTCCTGCCTGTCACCCTCAGTTCTTTGGTCAGCACCCCAGCTTTTCCTGTCACCAACCCCCCTCCCCCCAGCTGTCCTTTCCCATCCATCCTGCCTGCTGGCCTGGCCCTCTAGGAGGAGCTTCCTTGATGGGTCCCCTGGGTGGGTGGCAGTCACTCTGATAGCTGACCCCACCATGCCCCCAGGTCTGCACTTCACGTGGGGGTGACACTGAAACCAAGATTCTAGGTAGCTGAAGTGGGCACTGCCACCCCAAGTCCTGGGACAAGCCTGGTGCCTGGGCAGAGACTTGGGTGGCACCCTGGATGTCACGATTAACACTCTGAAAAGCAGAGGGAAAAAAAAAAAAACTGTGTGTGAAGTGGCTGGGACATCCCCAGGCTCTGCTTCCTGGAATGCCTGTGGATCCCGCCTGCTCGGGAGCGGCCTTCCTGCCCAAGACCGCGGGTGCCAGCTGCTGCACTCAGTGAGTGGGGAATGAGTGGGGTCCCTGGCTTTGAGGGTGTCACAATGGCTGGCAGTTTTGAAAATGGAGTTTTCCAGAGCACTGAGGGACCCTGAGCTGATGACCTGACCCTGATGAACCCGTTAGATGTGTTGCCAGGAGCCTGGCACAGGGTGTGGTTCCTGGAGAAGCGTGGGGCTCCTGTTGGGGTGGGCAGCTGGCCCCACTGGGTCCCTGGAGTGTGGACAGGCCCAGGTGGAGGTGAGCACAGGTGCAAAGATAGAAACTGAGGCAGGGAGAGTTTCCACTGGCCCAGGGCACCCTGTAGCCCACACCCTACCTGCACACCCCTGGCATCAGCTGGTACCCCTTGAGTGGGGTTGGCAGAGAACACAGACCCAGGGACAGAATAAAGAGGTGACTGTGTGGCTGTGTGTCGTATCCATCGTGCCCCCCCCCCCCGCAATATCCAGCAAGGGTGGGATGGGCTACTTCCCTGTTGGGGGTGTGTGACATTTTCTGAAATTGTGTGTGATGTTTGTTTACAGGCTGTGTGGGGAGGGTAGTGTGTTCAGCAAGGGGCACAGCTTGAGGACGTGGTGACCAACACCTGGCCTCTCCTGGCCTGTCCCTGTGCGCTCCTGACTGGCTGGGCAGGTGGACCCTAGGACAGTGCCAAGTCTTCGACTCAGAGGGTTTGGAATGAAGAGCTGATGTCCTCAGAGAGCCCTGGGGAGGGTGACAGTCACCTCTGTTCACCTTGGGAGGGATGGGCACCTCTTGTGGCTGTGGCCATCAGAGGACAGAGCCAGTTCCAGGTGAGACCATGGTAGTGCTGTGGGTGCCGGGTAGTTAACAACAGCACAGCATGGTCAAAGACCCAGACAGAGGCCACAGTGTGCTGATCTCAGTGACAGGACATGCCAAGGACAGTAGACTTCAGGGAGGGAAGTAGACTATCATGGCAGCTGAGGGGATGGGGTGATGGACCCTGGAAACAACTCACTTTGGGGGTGATGGAATGTTCTGGTACTAGAGATCATGTTTGTAGGATCCGAGTACATTGTAGACTTTCCACAGGTGAACTTGGTATGTGAGTGTGAACCCCCAAAGCAAGGCCCACTGTGTCCATCTGAATCCCAGGACTGCATGGTTAGGATGGGCCACTGCCTGGCCTGTGGCCAGCTCACACCAGGGACACTGCAGAGTGACTCTCAGGTAGTGCTGGCGTGACATGGGTGCCCTAGCAGTGGCCTGGGGATCAGCCATGTGTCCTGGCCTCTTGCTCCTAGTGGCAGGCACCCAGCCCTGGTCCCTGTGCAGCCATGACCATACCTGTGTTGTCAGAGGACAGAGTGCCCCCTGGTGTGGGCAGGGTGTGGGGGCAGTGGGAAGGTGCTGAGTGCTGGAGCAGGCAGTGGCTGGGTCCCCGAGTGTAGGCACTGCCCAGAGAAGTGACAGGTGGACAGAGGGTCAGATGCAACGCCCCTGGGTGGCTACAGGCCTGTCCTCCAGTGGATGGCCCCCTCAGAGCTGGGTGCCTGCCCTTTGCCCCATCTTCTGTCCCCAGATGCTGCATGTGACCTGGTGGGGAGGCCCTGTGGGTGCCGGGCATGCTGTTGGCTGCTGCCCTCTGGACCTGCACCCCCATCCAGGCAGTCTGAGATAAGCAGATTTGAGGTCCCTCCCTCGGCACTGCCCTGTCCTGTCCCCAAGGGGGACCCATCACAGAGTGAAACTGAAAGAGGTGGTGGCTGGGATCTAGCCAGGTCCCACTGCATTTCGAAAGTGACCTCACCAGTCCTGGAGGAAGGCAAGACAAGTCACTTGAATTTCCGGGGAGTCCCCACCCCTGCGGAGTCAAAAGCCACAGACTCAGCACAGGTTGAGGGTCCTGGGAAGGCAGCAGGCCTTTATGGTACTGATTGACTGACTAGGGTGGGGTGACTGTGCCAAGCATACCAACAGGTCAAAGAGAAAGTCCCCAAGCAATGACCACCCTCCCCGACTGTTCTCTGTCTACCCTGGAGCTCAGGGTGGCCCTCTGCAAGTGAGGTAAACTGAGAAAAGCCTCCTTTCCCTGGGCAGCCTGCATTCTGGCTGCCAGATCGGTTACCTGTACCCTGATCTCTGATGAGGGTGGAGTAGAGTGGGATGCACATGCACTGAGGGTTAAGTTTGGGGGATGGGGACTACCAAGAGTGGATGTGCCTGGTTGGGAACCTGTGAGGCTCTGTGAACCAATTTAGAGTCCTGAGTCTTCTATGCTGAGCCAGTAAGGGCTGGGTGTGTCCTGGGTGCTGTGAAGTGTGGTATATGAGCCTGTGCCCTGGCCTATGGGTGATGTCTGAGCTTGGCTGGATATTGGCTGGGGAGCACCTGGGCACAGGTGTCCAGGAACCCTGGAAGATGCCCCCAAAATTCTGGAGCTTGACCCTCTCTGAGCCTCAGGTGGAGGTTGGGGACTTGGATGGTGTTGGGGGTATCCTCTAGCTCATATCTCTGCTATGGCTTTGTGGGAGGCTGGGTGTGCAGCCTGCAGTGCCCTCTTTAAACAGCCAGGGACTGCCAGCCCCAAACCTTGTCTAGGACTTCTGAAAAACCAGCCCTTCTGGATACCCTGGGCTGCATTCCTCTCTCCTGCCTGGCCTAGGCTTCCCCAGAGCACCGCCCTCTTGCTTCCTCTGGAGGTTGGGGGAGCTCCGAATGAGCATGCTACTTGGACTCTGGGCACCCCACTCTCACTATTCCTTGGCTCCCCTCACCCCCAGCTGTTCATGAGCCTTGCCTTTGAGTCACATGTCTGCCATTGACTGAGAGGCCATAAATGGCCTTGGGTGGTGTTAGGATCTCAGGTCTGGCCCAGAGATCCATTAGAGTACCAGACCAGTTCACAGTACCAGACCTGTGAACTGGTCTCCATAGCATGGGACTGTAGATTTCAGGTTCTTGTGAGTCCTGGGTGACAGGCTGGGGCTCATTGGGCAGAGCACTTCCCTAGAATGCATGAGGCCCAGGATCCATCCCCAGCACCCCATAAACCAGGTGTGGTGGTACACATTTGTTCTCCCAGCTCTCTGGAGTGGAGACAGGAGGATCAGGAGTTCAGGATCATCCATGGCTATATACAGAGTTTTTGGCCCCTCTGGGCTACAATAAGACCTTGTCTCAAAAATGAAAAAAATAGCATATGTGTCTCAGGAGCCATCAGTATAAAGGCCTCTTTTCACAGTGGGCAGAAAAGAGAGGAGACCAGGGGCAGGAGAAAGGATAGCCCATGCAGGTCTGAGACCTCAAGTCAGGAGGTGCTGGTTGCCCTACCCTGTTCACAGTGGAGATGGGGTCCTCTGAATTCAAGGCCCACACACTGATATCCTGCAGAGGAGGGTCTCCTCCTCACCAGCTGAGTGCCCATGCTGTAACCCTGTGGGAACTTCCTAGCAGCCTGGAGGCCCCTGTGCTTCATGCTGCCAGACTTGCCTACCCATCATGGTAGAGAGAAAACAGTGTGCTATGGGCTGCTGTGTGAGGACACTGGGGCCCCTCTTCGTGTGGCCTGTCCCTGTGG